TATGTTTTACTTAGTGAAGCTCATGTTATGTGAGATCATTCAGTCCACTCCCTGTAATCAGATAGGTCCTGTTTAAGTGAGTTCATGAATCTACAGGTCATACTGTATTCATGCATAGATATAGTTGTTGAGATTGAACTCAGCGGCCCAAACAAATGTGTTTATTCACAGTTCATTCAGGATTTAACAACAATTACAATTTCTTTTTCACACTGATTGATCTGGATACCACTTTTCCCTCAACAAATATAATGCTTATTTGGTGATATTTTGTATTTAACAGCACCCAAATACAACTGAAACAGTTAAGTGGGCAAATACATCTTCCCACCAGCCTATTGTGAGTTTAAAAGATGAAAACCAAAAAAATAAAGTAAGCTGTGGATGGACATATAAAGAGGAGCAACTGCAGAGGTTAAAGACACTGGAAATCTGGACAGGTTATAGGAGAACTATACGGAGAGTACAGGAAAAGAGGTTACCACAAAAGAATAATAATTCAAGACTTTCAAAACAAGAAAAGTCAAAGTAAGATCGAGGCTATACAGCTGCCCCATTTATACATCTCACTTAAGCCCATAAACCCTGGGAGTAAAATCCATGACTGTGAAGAGAGAGAGACCAGCAGTAGTCCTTGAAATCAGGAGCAGGGCTGTTCAAGCATGGGGAAGAGAAGTAAGGAGCAGAGTGACAAAACATCTCTCTCTCTGTGGCATTTGCCCTCTGAATGGCATCAGCTCAGCAGAGCAGAACAGCCAAGAGTGATGCAGAGTCAAAAGAATAAAGAAGAGGAGGCAGGCAGAAAAACACAGCTGAGAAGGCAGAGGGAAGAAAGAGAACAGAGAGGACACGAGTGACAGTAAAGAGGTGAGGAGCAACAGGACGAGCAGAGCACTTCCCATCAGACACTGTTTCACCAGTCACTGCACAGAAGAAGGGAATGTGAGTTATGCCTCCCAGTTCCACATTGCTCTCACAATTTATGTCCTGGCATGGGTAGCACAACTGGACTGCTCTGTTGAAAAGGCGCCTGTAAATCTAATCTTGTTTTTCATTTTTGTTTCAGTACTCCTTATACCCTCTCTATCTGTGCTCTTTGGAACTCGTCTACTTTGCTCTACTTTACAGTGTCTTATGTAAAGGTATCCAGCCGAAAGCCATTTGTCTCATGCATTCTGTATACTGCATTCTGCTGAGCTCGTAGAGCTTAGACGTTGAAAATCTGCATGTACACAAAACATCCTTCAGTGTCTTACGCAACCGCCACACATCCAGGAAGCACTCATAGAAATTGATCTACATTTAAAAGAGAGAAAATGGCTTCACTCAACATCTAGTAATATAGTCAATATGGGTAAATTGCATAATTCTTCCCTGCATCAAAGCTGATCAGTTATGATCAAGCTAGCTGGTCCAACAGGTAGGTAAAAAAAAAAACAAGGATTGAGTTTGGAAAAATATGAGCACTTTGGATTCACGTTAAATAATGCATATAAAATTGCTAGCACTGGAAAAGCAGTTTCCACCCAAAACTTAGACTTATTTAATTATTTATAAATAAATAAACCTATTTATTTATATCAAATTACAGCTTATTATGTTACTTAAAAGGGTTAATTAGATCAGATTGGGTCAAAAGCTAACATGAAGATATGAGAGGGGATATTCTTAGTCATAATTACAGTCAGAATTTATTACATTTATTACATTTATATGCTTTCTGTGCTGCAAGTGGGTAAACGACAGGGAAAGTGACTATCCCTGCATTAAACAAAGGGTTTGTCATAAAAGTAGTCAGTGTTGATCGCTTAATGTTAACTGGTAAAACCAATCAGGCTTTTACTGGTCATGTGATGCAGTAACAGAGGGTTTCTGATATTTTAATTCCATTTTTATAAGGATAAGCAGTTTATAGAAATGAGCCCAATACATGTTAACGCCAAGGAAGACTTCTATCTTTTATTTTTTTGCATTTTTCCTATCATAAACATGACAAAATCATTAGTGAAATGCCAAGATGCATAAATTATAAACACCAGAATCTATTACAGCCAACACTACAGAGACACTACTATTTATGCACGTATTGCATTATTACAAGAGGTGATTTGAATATATTTCTCTCTGAAAACCAAACAACACGATGAAGTCTCCAAAGAAAACAACACTCCTCCAAAACTAATGGAAACCTAGTTAGCCTTCCCACTGGCTCTTGACCATACGGAGGACTTTTTTAAACAGAAAAAATAATGATAATGTTTGCTTTCGTGCAGACAGCCATCCTGACGCTCCTCCCTCCAGAGACCCAATTAATACCACTGTAAACCGCCGCTTCCCTTCGCTGGCAACACCAGTCACCATAGTATGTGTCACACTGTGTGTGCGTGTGTGTGCGTGCAAATGAAGGAGAAAGACAGATGATGTAGAAGATGTGAGAATATAACAGGGTGAGGACATGATCACATGTAACATGGCAGCACTGTCTGAGTACTTCTGTTATCGTATTCTGAAAATATTTTCTGATTACTTTAGAACCAGCAACTCCAAATCAACATAAAAGGAACTTAAGGTTTAAGGTGAAAAATAGCTGAAAAGCACCTGAAGGCCCTCAGCAATAAATAACATTAAGTCTGGAGTTTAATGCCAGGGAAATTATCATGGAAGGGATTATCTTGGGAAGGGAAATTTGATAAGAACTATATATTTGTCCATCAAGGAGTTTAAACTTAACTTAAAATAATGTTAAAAATGTATTTAATTAGACCTTTATTTGCATTTTTCAGTCCTGGATGTTGGAAATCACTGATGTTTTCGATATAACGTTTCTCCAACACATCCAATACAACTCTGCAGCAGGTCATTTCCACTGGATGCCTGCTAATCTTCAATTCATTTAAGCCAGGTGTTTAAAAGCATGACAGTTGATCCTGTAAAGCTTGACAGTACTTCCTAACATAAAATGCTTCATAAGAACTCCCAGCCTTTGTCAAGTTGAAACTTTTGAAACATTCAAACGGAGACAAAAATAACTCTAATACCTCAGGGTTCCCTGGGAAACCAGCAAACTAATTTATCTCAACGTTTTTCTAAATAAATAAATAAAAGTACAACAATTCTAGATATACAAAAACTTATAGGTCTCACCTTTAGCACTTTTTGCCTAATTTTCATAATGTGTTTCTTTGAAAGAAAGAAACACAGACAGACAGACAGACAGACAGACAGACAGACAGACAGACAGACAGACAGACAGACAGACAGACAGACAGACAGACAGACAGACAGACAGATAGATAGATAGATAGATAGATAGATAGATAGATAGATAGATAGATAGATAGATAGATAGACCTTTTAAAAAACCAGCCAGATGCCACTATATTAATTGAAGGCTAAATTTTTCGACTGTTTCTGAAAATTCTAAGAGATAGCACCAAGGATGAGGGAGGACTTGTTGGTCTCCGTCTCCCGATACGCCCTCACCTGTGTCCGACCTTTCAGACATTTCAACATCTTTTTCTGAATCCAACTTGTAGCATGGAATAGACAATTCACGTTTGCAGTTTGAAGAACACCTGCTTGCTTCTGATGATTTCCTTTAGCTACCCAATGAGTGTTTGCATTATATGACTCATCCAATCACACTAGTTTTCACTAGATGTGGATGGAGCTAATGATCTGCATTGGATGGTGCACATTAAACTAAAGCTAAGAGTAACAAGTAAAGTTTTTTTTTTGTTTTTTTATGTAAGGAATAGAAAGTTCCGATACTTGTGTGAAAATATAATGAGTAAAAGTCTGAAGTAGGAAGAAAAATAAGTAATGGAGTAAAGTATAGATACCTAAAAAGTGTACTTATGTACAGTAATGAAGTATTTGTACTTTGTTACTTGACACCTCTGATAGATAGATAGATAGATAGATAGATAGATAGATAGATAGATAGATAGATAGATAGATAGATAGATAGATAGATAGATAGATAGATAGATAGATAGATAGATAGATAGATAGATAGATAGATAGATAGATAAATCAAACCTACTCTTTAACCCTTTATAGGGAATTCAGTAAAAGACTAAACATCTAAATTTCAAGCAAAGAGTACACTGCAAAAAACTGAAATCTAAGTAAGTCAGTTTTTCTTGAAATACTTTCCAGAGATAGATAGATAGATAGATAGATAGATAGATAGATAGATAGATAGATAGATAGATAGATAGATAGATAGATAGATAGATAGATAGATAGATAGATAGATAGATAGATAGATAGATAGATAGATAGATAGATAGATAGATAGATAGATAGATAGATAGATAGATAGATAGATAGATAGATAGATAGATAGAAATCGTAATGCAATAATTGAAAAAAGAAAACAGGGAAATGCACCAATACTTAATAATAACATCATGTTTATGAACTCCATCGATTTGCCATTCAAAAATAGAATAATAATAATAAATAAATAATAATAGCTATAGGCAGATTTTTAAACACAAAATAATAAAATTATTTTGCTGAGGAGTACATAGAATAGAATAAATACATAACTATAAATATCCAGGGCTATTAGAAAACGTTAGCCCTTGAAATGGAAAGAATATTGTGAAGAAAATAAATAACAACATTAACTCATATGTAGATAATATTCCCATACCTACAGCCTCTTTTATTTTACTAGTTAAAAAATAAAAGAAGTTGTATTATCCCCGATAACAGATCCAACTTAATATTTGCCCCAACAACAATAAATAGAGACAGAATTCCTATAACCTGTCTTAATCTGAATCTAGCGTCTGATCACAGTGGGGCAAAAACTGGCTTCTAACAAAACCTCAACATACACAACTACTCCATATCTGGCAGAACTTAACGAGCGACTTCATGGATACTCATATGGGAAAGAAAATAATCATTTTAAAGGCTGTCACTCCAATTTGCAACTTGTGTCAAGCCTCCAAATGAGTGCGTCTATATTGTTGCCATCTTCCTACCTTTCCCACCAAGTGCGCAGGAGCTGTCCGAAAGCAGCCAGAGCAGCACAACCTGGACCCTGAGGATCTGCATCTTCTACGGAGCTGAGAGTGAGGTGTCTTCGCCTGCTCTTCTCTCTTCTAGTCCTGTCTCTCCTCTGGAGCGCGAGGCTCTTCAGCTGGCCGGGTCGCGCGACGGATCCAGTCACTATAAGCGCAAGGGAGGAGAGAGAGAGAGAGAGAGAGAGGGGTGCAGACGTAGAGAGAGCGTTAATTAACAAGTTTGCGGATATGACCTTTCAAAATAAAACTGCATTTGGGTGCGGGGAGATTTGAGTAATTCAAAAAAATACAGGTTTCATCAAAAGGTAGCATACATTGGAATTTTCTTATTATTTTTTATTTATTTTTTTGCCCCACATGAGCGAGACAGTTGAGGCATATACATGGTACTATTTTAATTTCAAGAATGACTATTTCCTCTTTTTTGATGTTTTTTGTTAACTTGACCTTACTTTTAGCAAAACTAATAGGCCTAAAGAATAAGCTAAGGAATGGACCAAATCATTTTGATTGTTGTTTAACATAACCCTTCTGAAATGCTCTGTTATAACAACTTACATCTTTAAACTTCTTTCTCAGGGGTGAATAACCTGGTTAAAGGTCGTGACTTAAGAGACAATAGAGCTCTTAAATTACATTATTTAAATCTTTCATATGACAAACCCCCTAACACATCCTGTGGTTTTAAACATTAACAGCACACAATATGTCAGAGGGAAACTATAAATAATAAGAAAAAAAAGCACAATAACACTTATACCTAGAATCACCTTTCATTTAATGTTACCATTTAGCCACCAGTCTGGAATGGTATATATATCGCATTTTGACATGACATCTTTTCCAATTAGATCTTTTATTTCGGTTTTTATTGTGATGTTTAGCCTTCCAAAATTTTTCTGACAATTGAACCTGGGGTGGATTTACAGTGATTTATCTTTCAGACAGGTTCAGGTCAAACCTGCCTGATATTTGAAACCAGTCACATCCGCCATGACAAAAGTTTAGTTCTATCTAAAGAAATTTTACCGCCCAGTTGCTACCAACACTATATGTTGCTTTCAATATCCTCTTTTGGCAATGAACAGTGCTTTGTCTATGCCAAATGTGGATTTTTTAATTTTGGCACAAAATCTCACTTTTTGTTACTTATAAATTTTACAACATGGCATAATTTTTCCAGAAACAAGGAGCAAGGTCAGTTTTTGTACTTGTTTCAGGACTGACACTTTTCTACAATGCCACTCCTTTGCCTGTCTGATAGATGCGTAACTAGGTAATATTAGTGAATAGATGTCACTAAACCCATCCACTGCCTTCAGACTGCTCAACTGTTGAAAAAAACTCTAAATCAAGGCACAAATCAAGACTCTGCATCACACTGATAACATCATACCTAATAGAACTCAACTCAAATGTTCTACTGCATTTTTTCCACCATATATCTTTATTTATTTTTGGCACTGCTTTGAACCCAGTGCCTTTTGCCCAATGTCTCTCCCACACTGTTTACATTTGATCACTCCTGCACTTTATGTATGGAAATGTTCCAATTCACTGCTAAGCTGTTGCTCATTCACTGTCTGAAAGCTGTATAAATGAAATTTAATTTTTGTATATACTCTGTATTCAAAATGTCAACAAAATTTGTCTAAGTCTAAATCATAAAAGGTCAACTGAATTTAATTTTGGTTTAATTCTCCAAAAATTAATGCATACGTTGATTTTTTTTTTTTTTTTTACTATCAATATAGGCTATGTACACATATGCATTTTACATATTTTACCCTGACATGCTGTTATTTTAGCTTAACTGTATGAGATATGTGTTATTAAAGCCGGGAAATATTTTATTGTGGTCTTTAACCTACAATATAAGAGGGATGTCTATATCTTTGAATGAGTTTAGTGATTTGATTAGTCATTCAAATTACAACATATGTGCAATACTTTGACCCTTATAACCACTATACATTTGCCAAGGTAGCATTTGGGGTAAAAAAAGAACAAACTCTTTGTTAAGTTGGTAACTTGTATTTAGTGGATCAGAAATGGAGTAGCTCTAATGTAACTTAAAACTTTTAGATTCCATCAGATATTTATGAACAATATATTTTAACTTGGACCCTGAATAATCCAAATATAGCTTTCACAGTAGTACTCTGTCAAAACGATCGAAAATGGCTTGTTGAATTTTTATATGTATCACAATCAATGTTTAGTTTAGAGTTTTTGTGACTGCTGCCTTCTGGGTCTATTTGGTGTTGGTATTTCAACTATTTGATTAAAATCCTACAGAAGTCTCTTAATCTGTGTCCCTTTGATGTTTTTATCTGGAATATGTTACATCAGAACCAACAAGATGTGATATTTTCCAACTGTTTCCTCCATAATAAGAGTCTCTGATCATCACAGCTTTACTTCCCCTCACATAACTTCCCAGTCTTAAAATTTCCACCCCGCAGCAGAATCACTGTTTTTTTTCTCAAATGACTCCGTGTTCTTCAGTTCTTCCCCTGTGTTTCTTCCTTTACAGAATATAGATGTGTAGTCTGGGGATTAGAGAGAGCCGAAGACCTCAAGTGGGTTAGGTTGATAAGAGATACAGAACACAAACAAAGCAACAAATACCCAGAGGAAAACATCTGAATTTTATAACACCAAAACACAGTGGCAACAGTGGCTACAAAATAATAATAAAAATGTTTTACCTATGCATTGAAAAAACAAACTAAACAAGGTTATCAGTCTGATCAATGTTAACTTCTGACTGCTGAAAACACCCACTGCTGATCCTTAGCTTGATACTTTACAAATAATCAATTAGAGCTCAACAATATTTCCTTTTTCATTTAACAATCAGTTTGCAGCAACAGAGAGTGAAACGTTACCTGGAATATATAGATTCTGCATTAGCGCATGATGTAAAGGTCACTGTATCATATAGTAAATGTCATGGGCATCTGAGATTTTCAGCTGGAAAGCATCTGTCATAACCCACTAAATTACTAGAATACTAAAAACACCAAAAACATGTAACTTGCAAAAACTGTAATAGAAGAGAAGAGAAGAGAAGAGAAGAGAAGAGAAGAGAAGAGAAGAGAAGAGAAGAGAAGAGAAGAGAATTCATGTACATGCCTGGAATGCACACATACTACTAAATAGATTATTATTAATACTACTGCTCCTACTACCAATACTACAACTGATATCAATATTACTAATGCTACTGCTATGTTTCTTTATTATTATTATTGTTATTATTATTTTAATAATAATAGTAATATTATTATTATTATTATAATAATAATAATAATAATAATAATAATAATAATATTATTATTAAAATAATGATATACAATATTTGACAAAGGGAATATGTGGCCAATATAAACAAGAATACTTAAATGTGTGCTTTTTATTTATACATGTTTTTTACTTTCGAGATTCCCTTTTTTAACAGGAAAAACTTTGGTTTATGTGGTATGATAATAAAAAAACCTACCTAAAGTGTTCTGCAGTGGCTATCTGGTGGTTTATATCTTTATCACATTTCAAAACCATGGACAGTTCCTTCATTTAATGTTAGTTTTACTTTCCCCCATAGGGGTAGCACTTTCGCCTTTTCTTTAAGCTGCGGAACCCTTGATTTTTCACTTCACGAAGCAGGGGGAATGAAATAACTGTTACACGCCGGGCAAATGTGAAAGTTGAAGGTAATAAACAGATGAAGGCTTTTGCTATGAAACGATGTGTGGGTTGTAGTGATACAACGCGGTCTGTGTTTTACTGTAACAGTGTTTAAATGTTCTCAGTGTCACGTCGTGTAGTATCTGTTCAGCTTAGGTAATTAATGCTTACTGACAGCTCAATGTCAAACCGATGTTTCACAGTGCTTTTACCTTTGTTACAACATTATTAAAATTACTTCATTGCCTGGTCGTGTATAAAAAAAAATGTGTATTTCTTACAGGATAGACTATCATTGAAAAAATATATAATTTACATCATTTAATACACATCATCAATATCAGTAACACAGAAAAATTGTTTTACCAGCATTTATTTTTTTGATTAACTTTTATACAGCTAATGAAAACCCCAGCCTCTGTTTCTCAGGCAAGTAGAGTTTTAATATGAGAGGAGTGATAAAATGTTTTTTTTTTTTTTTTTATGCATACATTTTGTGTTATAACCATACTGCGTGCTAAGAAATCATGAGGAAAATCTTTTTAGAAAGTCCACAATAATAATTTCTGGAAGTGCAAATCATGCTGGCTGTTTAGACAGCTGCATGGATCAAAGAATATCATTGGAAAGTTAGGTGGTAGGAAAAAGTATTTTAAAAATGCAACACACAGGGGCGGAGCTAGATGGGGGGCCGGGGGGGGGGGGGGGGGGGGCATATCCACCCTTAGCCAATCATTGGCCACCCCTACCATTTTTTCAGATGGTGGCAGCAGTAATACTCTCAATTGGAATATTCAAAAGCATTTTAATTTACAAGCATTTTACATAATTACTTGACAACAAAAGCACTGTGGTTTAATATGCAGATCAATATACATACATTAAAGATGATATGAACAAAATTCCTGCTCTTTTCAGAACTGGATTTTGTGTTATATAGGGTAAAGAGAAAATACAAGTCATCTAGGAGTCTTCAGTGAAATCATAAATACCTATTTTAATAAAACTGTGGTAAATAGTAAGTAATGACAAAAGAAAATATTTGCCCCAGAACTCAAATCTGAAAGAATTGTATTCTCTATACCTTTTATCTAGAAAGCACAGATGTTTAAATATATGCATCTGTTTGTCAGCAATGGTTGTAGGAAAGTATTGTTTGTCTTTATTTAGAAAATATGGATGTTGTGCTTGTTAATTTTCCCGTTGGAACAGTGTAGATTGACCCTGAGCTTCATGCACCTATCCAATTTCAGCCACCGTTCAGTGTACCTACGTTATTGTCTTACCACCCTTATAAAAAACACTGTGGTTAATTATGCACACCTATATACTAACATTAAAGATGATAAGTACACAATTCCTGCTCTTTTCAGAACTAGATTTTGTTATATGGGGTAAAGAGAAAATGCAAGTCATCTAGGAGTCTTCAGTTAATCATAGATAAATAACTATTTTAATAAAAACTTAGTAAATAAAAAAATTATGTAGATATTAGTACTTGTAAATATCAGTTTTATGCAGAATGATTATTGATAAAAGTAGGTAACTAATGACAATGGAAAAGATGTTCGCCCCAGAACTCAAACCTCAAAGAACTTTATCCACTATAACTTATAACTAGGTAGCAAGGATGTTTAAATATGTGTCTATTTGTTAGCAAAGGTTGGAGGAAAGTATAGTTAGTCTTTATTTGGAAAATATGGATGTTGTGGTTGTCAATTTTCCGTTTGGCTCAGTAAAGATTGACCCTAAGGTTCTGTTGTCGATCCACTTTCAGTCACCCCTCAGTGTACACTGGCTATTGCCTGGCCACCCTTATAAAAAGGTTCTGGCTACGCCTCTGCAACTTATTGCACTAAGGCAGCAATTTATGCACAAGGAGAATAGTCCAAATAATAAGTGCATATACTCTAGAGCACATGCCTACAATTTTTATTTAGTAAACATTTTTATTTATGTTATGAAATATTCATATTCAGAGTAACTTATGTGGGGTAAAAACACAAGCTCAAAATTTACAGAAAATAAATGCTTGAAACATGCTAATATTTGTGTGATAAATCTATATCGGTCACAAGTTGTTGTTTGTTTGTTTGTTTGTTTAAGGAATAACTCAAATTATGTGGTTGTTAATGGTATTCCAGTTTAATGAGATACACCTGTGCTTTAAAGTACTTGAATGACTGTAATGTGATGTCCATAATAATAAAGGTATAGTGGAGGATGTTCTTTTCCGAGTGGATCATCTTAATAAGTGGTCCTCCTAATTGTCAATCATTCTGGGGATATGTTTACGTAAGGCCGTCCTAAGTGCTCATCCCCATTTTCACTTACCGGCGGTGAGTCTGACATAGTAGAAAAATTGCAAATCTTCTTTTGGAAAGTAAGCTTGTATGAGTGATGCAAACAGCAACTTTTAAACAGAGCATGCACCAGGATAAAAGGGCTAGTGTATGATCTCACACCTCTACAATTTTTTTTTAAAGTGGAGAGGCCCAGTCTTTTCAAAAGCTCACAAAAAATCCTCCACTACACCTTTAAATGTAGTCAGTTTCATAGTAATTAGTGATCAGCTTGTTATTTACGCTTCTTGAACTGCATTTTGTCCATCTAATTTCCGTACTGTAGATATTTCAACAAACTCTTAGTGGTCTCTGGGTTCAGCTTGACCATGTGGCATCTGTTGTACAATTTGATTTTCATAATTTACTTTTAAAATACAAATTGGTTTTCCTCAAACAGGAGATATTGTTTAAATGGAGGTCAATGGGTCTTTAACAACACTGCCAATAAATCTGTGCTTCTTTGCAGATTTAATTCACCTACAAATGAGTGATTTCAAGTATAAAGACTAAACACCACTCTATATAAATCTGAGTTATTTCTGGAGTTTTACTAGGCAACTAAAGAAAACTCTATCTTTTTTCCATATATAGGTAAACATGCTGGTATGCTTGAAATCCCTGTTGTACTCAACATCCCAAGAGCCCATTAGGTCAATGTGATGGTTGCGTTGGAGAGTCTCCTTCAGGATATTTAGGTACAGAGCACATTTTCTTTGTTCCATCCATTGCAGAATGTTGTCCAGATCCTAAATTAGCAATGCAGCCCCAGTCCATTATAGTAACACCACTGTCCCACTCTTAGAGTGATTCTGATTAGCTGGATACTCCTGAAAACGTTCAACACTCTTCCATGTTTTCTCCATTTGTGGTTTACCTGCCCTCATATTAATATAAAAGACTTATAACCTAAAAATATACTTTGAGAGTTTTCTGAATCACAGATGTCAATCACTTAATTACTAGGGATGGGTAAAAAAAATCGATTTAATCGATTTTGAATCTACATTTTTGCAAAATCGATGTCTAGGGAATGGGATCGATTAGTTTTATAGTGACGCGTGTGACGTTCACATTCAAATGAGCAGAAAAGATGCACTCAAGATTACTTCAAGTCAGACAGCTGCAAATAGCCAATAGGTTGACTGAAGACATGGGGGCTGACCAGCAAACACCCTGTAGTTGTTACAGGCAACGCTGCAAGTATGGTTTGTGCAGTGAAGATAATGCAGCTCATGCATGTCTGCTGTGTCCCCACTGTGTCATGTCCGCTTGCTCGAGTGAAGCTTCACTTTTTCAGTTTTCACAAACAATTTTGCACTTATGAGGCAGTTTTGTTCTCAAGTTTCAACTGTCTGATTCACAAGTTTGCACTTTGTGTTTAATGTGACAGGAAAATTAAAATACATGAGTTGAACCACTTTCATTATTGTAAAAACAGATCGAATCGAAATCAATCGATTTAGAACTGTATTAATCAAAATCCAATCGATTTAAGACTTTGGCGAAAATACCCAACCCTATTTATTACTTATCTTGTCTTTAAATTTCTTTAGATCGAAGCCCAAGTGTGTTGCTTTGTCAGTTTTTTTATCCTTCTTTATTTTGCCAGACAGGTTATATTCAGGCTGATTTTTCCTAATAATGAGAATACACTGGATTTTTGCATAGTTTCTGTCTTAGTCAGTTAAATAACAAGCTGCTGTCATTGTTGCACATATCTGCTGCTATTTTTTTCCACATATCCATTACTGTAAAAGTGTCCACAGCTTTATATTATTTATTCTTCAGATGCACAGTATTTATATTAGTATTTTCTTAACTCTCACCTATTCTGTTATTTTTTATACACTTTTTTAAACACTTTTTAAGGTACACATTTGTGTGACCACTTTTGCTATAACCTTTTGCTGCTGCTGTACCACTGTTTCCCCATTGTGAGACATTAAAGGGATTTTCTATTCTATTCTATTCTATTCTATTGAGATTATGTTTTTTTTGCTTCTGTACATAGAGCCAGGTTGGTTTGTAGTTTTTTTAGTAATGATTCAGTTAATCAGTTGAAAAGTATTCTGGATTCTCATGATAATTTCATCTGATTTTAAAATGTCTTGGATGATTTTAATATTTAAGTGTATGTTAAAAAAAAAAAATTAAAACTTAAGCACAGCATTTTACCTCTAAAGGTTGGATGTTTGGAATGTTTTGAATCTATTCATTTTTACTTAAACCACTTTTATAAACAGAAAGATGCTGTTTGAGTTTTAGTTTTTATGAAAGTAGCCCTCTATTTTTAAGAGCAGAAAATGATCCAATTGTTCTAGTTATGTCCATACATATCTGAAACTGTACTTGAAATAAATCCAAAGAGCAACAAATTAATGCTGAGGTCATTAAGTGTAGTATTCCAAAGCTCACAGGAACTTAAAGAACACCTTCACACTGACATATAGTGTATGATGATATATGCTGTTGGAATATTTTCCAAGTACTTGAAGCGTTGAACAGATACAAAAAATACCTTCTTCTGTCTTCCCCTCAGGTTACTTTGAGGCTTGCAGTGTGAGAGAATCAGCCACTATGGCCTCCCGCCGTGTCCCACTGGTTCTGTTAGCCTGTGGCTCTTTTAATCCAATCACCAATCAGCACATGAGGCTGTTTGAGCTGGCCAGGGACCACATGCAAAGCACAGGTCAGAGCAACTGTGACAGATGCGATTTCTGCTAAATGTGTTTTTCTTTGGCTTAAAAGATATCCCCTTAGCATCAAATGAGTTATATCATTAAGCTGACGTCAATCAAACGACTTTAATGTGATTTATGCAGCTCAATATGTGTAGCTCAACAGAACTTTTCAAACTAAAGAACAAAAACCCCTTTTTTTTAAAGTGCCTGCTATCTAAACTGAAGAGGTCAGGTAAAAATTGTTTCTACAAGAGTTTGGAACAAGTAGAAAAAAATAATAAATGAATATGTTGGTAAATAAGAATAATAAAAACAGATTTATTGGTTGTTTGATGAAGGTTATGTCTTTACACACAGGCAACATTGTAAGTTTATATAGAATCACAAGTTAAGAGAATGATCTCTCTACACAATGCCTTATTGAGTATTTATATATATATATACATAAATACAGAGTCATTTTATGGAGCTTTAATGAAAACCCACCAGAAAGTAGTGCAATGTTGTTAACTCAAGGGGAAATGAAAAAAAGGTTAAAAGGTTTTAGAAAGAAAAAACAAGGTACCATATATAAGTCCTTACCCCTTGCACTTAGCAGTCTCCTAATTAGTTAATAGAGTCTATTGGTGTGTAATTTAATCTCAGTAAATACAGCTGGTGTATGACTGCTTCAAGAGAACTGAACAAACACCCCAGTTTCGTCCTTTTTTTTTTTCCTTTGGCTAATGTCACTGTTCTTGTCAATAATAAGTGCTTTATTGATACAGACGGCCTAATTGACTATTAACTCAATCAGGAACATTGTTTCTAAAATAATTTAGAAATAATATCATAACATCTTGAGCTGCACCACCCCCACCCATTAAATACCATAGTCCTCTGCTGTTAAAGATCTTCCAGGTTGGTAGATATATAAAGCCTGACAGTTTTTTACCCACTTCTCTTTGCAAAACAGCTCAATCTCTGATTTCAGAGCACCAGGCAACATCAGTTCTCAATTCTTTCCATACATTTTCATTTCAATTACTTAGATGCAGCGTTTACGAGGTGCAAGGACTTGACAAACCCAGTCAGCTCCTCTGTGTTCCGCTGTGTTCCTAAGTTCCAGTTTTTTTAGTTAACTTAGCAAACTGCACAACTACACATGTAAGATTGCTGTCTTTGATTTGCAAAAAATAATTAAAATAACAACTGATCTTTGACTTTGGACATAGAGAACAGCTGATAAATTGTGCAGGGTTTATAGATCTTCAGTCTAACAGGACAGTGAAGGTAGATCATGGTCTTAATTTCCTCTGGGATTATTAAAGTATGTCTGATTCTGACTGATCTGTCTGATTCTGATTACACAGTTTTCCCCCTGAATTACCGAGACAATGTCCCATCAATATCCAGAACTCCTCTCTGCTCAAGTGCTTTGCATGGGTGGTTGTGTACAAGCAGCAGCTCTCCGTGATGAGAACAGTTTTTAATTTGAGTACATATGTTGTCTCTTGCTGAATAATTTATTATGTCATCTGCTTTTACTGGGAAATAACTGGTAGATGAACTTCATATGACTGCTGAAAACATGGCATTTTACTTTTATGAATAAAGATTAACTCTTTTTATCCCGTGATATAGATCCTGTTTAAGGCTTAGTCCTGCTAATAAGCTTCACACCCCTGATCCAAACCATCCAAATAACTCTGATTGTTTTGGATAAATATCCATCTTGAGGGAGAACCTCCTTCAACTTCAGGTTATTTGCCGTCTACAACCAATATTCCTTCACTGTCACCGCCTATTCAGCTTCATCTATCCTCCCATCAACCCTGACCACATCCATCATCCCTCCATCTTATGCCAGAGCAGGCAAAGAATCTGAAATTCAAGCCAGGTGCAGTATCGTGCTTTAAAGAGCTGGAAACAGGCAGTGATCAGGACAGACCTCAGAGCAGAGGATGAAAGGCAGGATGACTGAAGCTTGAAACGGAGCCGTAGGACAGGCTAAGGTCACACACAGGAGGACAGAGACTGGCAGATGATCAATTGGCTTGGTAAGGTTACTGGTCATAATGACAGATCAGAACTTGGACCAGGTGCAAGCCAGGTGATCCAATTTCCAGAGAGAATCCAAAGGGTTATCTAAGGGAGCGTCAGGGCAGAGTTCTTGGTCTGATAACACACAGGCTTTCAGCTCAGACAGGTTTAAGGCAGGCTCAGATAATTGAGAGACAAGACGGGTCAGGCAAACTGGCAGGAAGTCAGGAATCAGAATACTGGAATAGGTATCACCGGTGGCTCGAAATAATCTGGCACCGATGTCTGGTCTGAAGGCTGGTTTTATACCGATAAGCTTAGGTGGGTCACATGAGTGGTAACGAGAAAGGCGCAGAGCTGAGCAGGTGTGTCTTGTGAGGAATCAGACCAGCATCAGTGCCAAGATCATGACATGGATTATCTGTAAAATTAAAAAAAGCGTCTTATTAAAATAAGTCTCTCTGTCCAGGTTGATGATAAAAACCTCACACCTTGACACATCTATCAATACAGGCTCTTTAAGGGAAGCACTGATACCAATCATTTTTATTTACATGAAAAAGTGATACAATGATAACCAATTTTCCCCACAATTTAAACAATTTAAACAAATGTAATGCAGTAATAAATCAGGGAAGGCATATTAAATGATGCCAATACAAGAAAAAAAATGCTAACACTCGCCCCAAATATCAGCTGGTCGATGTTATCGTCCAATCTGTAAAATCCTTATGAAACTTATGTGGGCATGTTCTTTTAAAGAGTTGTGATTGAGGCTTTGATTGCTGTGTCATGTAGTCATAGTTACCACATAAAGACTGCAAAGTTATCATGATAGCACCACAAAATACCAAGTTCAAATTTAAGCCACTCATGCTATCCCCGCATGGTGCATTGCTGAGATGAACATAAATGCTTCTACTTTCTTGGCTTTGACATTTAGGAAAGCTAATATACCTTGAAGTCCATGCAAGTGATCCACTTTTTTCTGTTTTTCCCCTGCAACAGTTGCAAAGTAGTCCATCTTAATCTTGATTTGGTTTAACCCAAATCACTGCTTAAATCTTTTTTTCAGAACCTTAAGTAATGTTGCGTAGTCTAAGCTATAAATTATTACTGTGTAGATAGATTAAGTAATGGCCAAACCCTTATATCACCGAGTTATAATAAAAGCAGTCAAAGAAGCCATATTTAAATGTCACATCTGATGAAACATTCAAGATACAACCTCCTAATCTCTATGAGGGTGCTTTATCTTCTGAATAATGTTCCTTTTTTTTTTGACTGTCATGACCTGGAAAAACGGCTTTAATAACCTCTCTCCTCAGGCCAGTACAAGGTGGTGGGGGGCATTGTGTCTCCAGTGAGTGACGGGTATGGAAAGCAAGGTCTGGTCTCTGCAAAGCATCGCATTTCTATGGCAAAACTGGCTCTTCAGAGCTCTAACTGGGTCACGGTTGATGAATGGGAGAGCCAGCAGCCAGACTGGATGGAGACAGTGGTCACTATGAGGTATAAAACACATTTAATGTAAGGTTTAAAATTTCCATGTTTGAGAAACTGCATTTCCAGGCTAAGGAGTAAAAAAGACTTTGTCTGCTGTGATTTAAACATGCGCTGCAGTCATTAATAATTGGATGAGCTTTAAGGCTAAAGTTTATACTATCTTGGGAGGGTGTAGTATTTCAATGTTGATAGATATACAAAAAGTTAGAAGCATTGCAGTAAGGAGTAATTACATTTAAAAAAAAAAAAAAAAGAAAACATTTTAAATAATATAGCTGAAGAAATAAATGAATGCACCAAACTGGTTTGGGTTAAAAACCAAAGGAGGGTGTGCATCAAGTGAAAGAGTAAATAAAACACTAAAGTTAACCGCAGCGTTTGTCTGGCTGAACGAGAGGAGCTTAAGTACTGCTGGGGATAATGAGGTGAGTGAATAAGTAAGTAAATGAGGACCAGAACACATTTATCACTGGGGACATGATGAGGGTCGCTGAGGACAACGGAAAATGATGAGCATCAGAGAAAAGCTAACTCAGAGACTGGAGCCAAAAGCAACAAGCTGCAGGTTCTTTCAAGAAAGCCCATTAAGGAAAGGTGAAAAATGAAACAGAAGATGCTGAACAACATATGTCTCTACTTAATGGTGTAATTACTTTGTGAATACAGAGTCGTGCAAAAGTACTGATGATGTTTAAAGAATATTAAATGGAAACTAGTTAAAAGTTATCCTTCTAATGAAAACTATATTTTTTGTGAAACGAAGCGCTTTATGAGCTGGGACCCTCGTGGGGACAGAAAGGAAAGAGTAGATACACAAAATATACATAAGCACTTGTTAACAGTACTGAATTTAATGAGTTCATGGCAGCAGCAGCTCCATTTGTACACTTCATACGGGAGCACTTTTTCAGATTTTGTTTTGTTGCAAACACAGACTGCATTATATTTAAATGGAATTTTATGTAAAGATTAAAAGGTTAATAGGTGTTAAACACAGACTTTGAGGACAACCTGTTGTAGGCAACAACAAGACTAGAGGCTGTATGGGAGGTTGACCATCCAGAGGCCCGATGAGCCAGAGCAAAGGAACGGTTTAGGTTAAAGCAGACAGTTGTGTTAGAATGATCAAGTCAAAATCCAGACCTAAATCCATGGGAAAAATCCATGGCAAGACATGAGACACTGATGTTTGCAGGAAATTCCACATTCCATCTGTCTGAGCTTAAGCTATCTTCCAAAGAAGAATAGAAAAATAGTCAAGTTTTTGAGATCTAAAACGAGGATGAAGGCATACTGAGAAAGAGTTGCAGTAGAGGTGTTAAAGGCAAATGCATGCACACCTCTAACAGTTTCTTTACACCTCACAGCAATGTGCTACCTGGTAATGACCGATCACATACGTCCCTGAGAAAATGTGTTACATTGTACAACTGCAGCATGGCTTTTGTAAGGCCCTCTTCGTGTCACCTGCTTCTGTATGAGACCATTTTTATACAGAACATAATTTTTTTTTATACTGAAGTATCATTCATTTGTAAATATTTTCTCAGTTTGATGTAAGCATTAGACTTTCAATGCCATTTTCACCTGGAAGCAGCGATTATAGTTGCAAAGCAATAGTAAGAGGTTTTATAAGGAGCTGCTTTCACCCTAGACGGCACAATGATTAGATTTTTACTACTTTTACTGATCCTAAATTGTAGATCTATTGTCTAAATAAAAGGCAGTAGAATAAAACATAATTTTATGGGGGATGCAAGGTCACAGCCTATTTAATTCATTGTATATTTATAGCTTGTACAGCATTTTGGTCAGCCAGTGTTATTTTTAAATGTGCACAGGGACACATGCCTTACCTAAGCAAAGCATGTAATGGACAAACTTTGCTGACACATACCAAAATGAATATCCAAACATGTGCTTAACCTCATTTGGGTGGCAGCTGAGTTACAGTTCATTAACCAGACCCAGACCTGATATCTGCCCAATTGGTAGAATTAAGAAATCAGTTGAGCAGAACCTTGCTAACAACATGAAGAAGGCTAAAATATCAAAAAATAAGCATCATATTTTGCCCTGATCTAAATAATTGAAGGAAGATATAATATTTAAAGCTACTGACAATGTCAGGAAAGGTTGGCAATGGAATTTCTAAAGCTGTGGGACTACGCTGTGCAGTGAACTGCACTGAGAACCATCATCCATAAATGGAGAAACAGTGGAAAACCTCAAGGACAAGACATGCTATCAGAGTTACTCCAAAAGGTCCTCAGTGACTCATACTGGAGGAAAGATTCCTTAAAAACCCTCATGTAGACTGTGTTCATTCACAATGACATCACAGACTCATTTTTAAAATGCAGGATGGGAGATGTGGCTGCCAACGGTGACAGAAACCAGTTAGGTTTAGGCGGCCATTAAATTTTCACATTTGAATAGGTTGGTTCAGACTAGTAATTTTCAACTTAATCTTCTTTTTGCTAGGATTATCTTTGTCAGATTTTTTTTATCTGAACTATTTAAGTTCGAAAAAAATAGGTCACATAGCACCTTATACCTCTGACTTTATCTGAAATAGAATGTCCTTGTTTTTCCCATTTTGTCATCATCCTTCTGGCTGTTTACGTCATTGCTCTTGTCACTGTTTCCCATTTTTCATCAATCCTTCCCTCTGCCACCAGCTGCTGGTCTCTCACTGGCAAACACAGTCAAGCATTCAGGAACAACTCTTTTTAAAAGTGGTTTTTCAGTCATCTTTATAAATTCCTGTTGGACAATGGTATTTGATTTCCTTTAATGTTGTTTAGTTTGAGTAAAAACTGGAATGTATGAAGATATATTTAACCTTTGTAATTTATTTTTTACTTTTTTTTTTCTTCAGGTATCATTATGGACAGATTCTGGAAGAATACAAGCAGAGTACAGGAAAACACAATGATTCCTCAAGTAAGACTCACTGGGAACATGACACTTATTTTTTATGACTTATGGATTTCTTTATATAAGGCCCAAGAACTGAGGTGGGGAAAATAAGAGGTATAGCATGCATAAAAAATATTAAAGAATAATCTGCACAGCTACACAGCACACCTTCTCAAACAGTTACAGGAACATCCAACACTTTGGACGGTTTTATTTAAGATTAGGGATGAACTATAAAGAGTTTCTGAAAAGCCTGTCATTGCAAGGAATTCAAATTAGAGAAAAACATTTATATAGAGTACTGTGGGCCAGATAGGGTGAGCAGATGTGCTGATTTGTGCTTTTCTGTGCATTTGTCCCACAAATTAAAAAAGTTTCTCACATTTGATTGGGTCACATTCTAAAAAGTCCAAAAACGTTTAATCCAACAGACGCTCGTCTTCAGTGTGAATAAAGCAGAGCTGCAGTTATTGTCAAAGAGAGCGTTTGCTCTGTAACTTGAACTTGATCTCTGGGATCAAGTTCACTGCTGTCCAACTCTAAAAGCTCTGGAAAGGAGTGCGGTTATCATATGGATGTATTCAAAGACGTTAACAAGTACTCAAACATGTATATAATATTACAAAGTAGGCAAGTTTAGTTTATTTATATAGGCCTATCACATAAGAAAGACATTTAAAGTGCTATAAATAAAACTAAGAAGAGGAAATATAACACCAAAGGTACATTGCTTTGGCATCAAGGTAATTAAATATTTAATGAACACCAATAATTACTGACAATAAAATGAGTATTAAAATGATCAATAATTAAAAGAAAGTAAAGTTAGACTGGTAGTCTTAACTAAGAATAATTAAATTGGGGTGTCGATCATCAGAAGGTTTCAGCATTTTTACAATTTGCAACTATTTCAGACAATTAACAAATAATAAATACGTTTCAGAAAATATTTCAAACAAAAAAACAACCATGTACCACACAAATAAAATTGCATTTTCATTTCAAATAGATTTAATTCATTTGAACATCAATAGAAGCTAATAGAATACACTGGAAAAATTATCTAGAAATGAGTAAAAATTTCACTTAAATTAAGTGTATCTACCCTTAATTTGAGTAGGTAAATGAGATAGTTTGCCAATGGAGTGAGTATTTTTAGATCATATGCACTTGAATTAAGTCAATGCAATTGTGTTTTCTTATTTCAAACGTAAATTGTCTTGTTTCATTGGCAAAATGTCTCTTTTACCTCCTCAATCCAAGAACAAATGCACATATTTTAAGAAAAAAAAAGACTTATCTAGATTTCATTTTTTTCCAATGTAGACAAAAGTTTCCACTAAATAAACTTGCCAGTATATATAGGCTAAGATCTGACATTGATTAATGATTCTTAAATCATGTGAAATTGTTTGAAAGGGGTACAAAGAACTAAAACTTATTTTACATAGCCGTTTCATACTGTTTTATTTCTCTGTTTTTGATCCAAAATTCACACAAAATATACATAGTTATATAGATATTTACATCTAGACACATTGTTGTAAATGCAAGAACAAAAGCGTCCCCCGAACCCCTGCGATCATAAATCCCAGAGCGAGGACCAGTGATTGAAGCTTCAACAGCTGCAGTGTCAGCATGCAGCAACAGAAAACCTGGAACAGAGAAGGCCAAGCACCCCACATGCAGACACACAGCATACACACACACACACTCACACACAGTATTTATACTGTGAAAACACTTTATAGTACAGTATTTTATTTTTTGAGGGGGTTTTTTAACTCTTCACTTTTATGATTTTTATACACTTTTCTAAAGTCCACATTTGTGTGACCACTTTTGCTATAATCTTTTTGCTGCTGTAACAGCAGAATTTCCCCATTGTGGGACAATGAAGGGATTCTATTCCTCTATTCTATTTTAAACACACAGAGTACTCAGTTACGATACAATTCAGCTCCCCTCCTCATCACAGTACATGTTGAAAATCATCCGTTTGAGCCTTTCTGTTAAACAGACTCATGCTTTGACATTGCTTCAGCTCTTTTTGGAGTTTATTCCAGACCTTCACACCACTGACTGAAATGCACATTCTTTTCATGGTGGTTCAAGCCCTCAAGGGTCTAAAGTTAAGGTTCTCTCTGTAGTCAGAGCCTACCACTCTATCTGTGAACAGATTTTGAATATTTCCTGGTAGTTGTTTATTTCTAGCTTTATACATAAACTGAGCTATTTGAAATTCTACCAGATCTGGGAGTTTGAGGAGGCAGGACTCTAGAAATTGTACATTAGTATGGTCATTTCATCCTGCCTTATGAACCATTTAGATGGTTTTATAGGTGTTGCCCCATATTTCCATACAGTAACTCAAGTAAGGTAATACAAGTGAACAATACAGATTATGATGTGCAGCATAATTTAGAAAATGTTTAGATGTTTTAATGAATTTCTGCGATGCATACGTCTTTATATTTTTAAGTAATATACATTTGAGAATTTGCCACCTCTACTATTTGAATGGACACAAAAGTGAATTTACAATGCATTTGAATAGAATAGAAATCCACTTCTCTACTGAGTAGTAAAGGGAATTATTAAAAGGGATGATGCATTAGGAGCCCCTTTATAAAAGCATTCCTGTGGCACATTCTGATCCATGATTCTGTATAATGAACCAGATTCAGCACCAATTAGCTAGAAGCATCTTACTACTCACAATGTTCAGTTTGTTTCAAGCTGTGATGTATTTGATTGTTTGCCTCTCCTCTCAGGTCCAGCCCCCCAGCTGAAGCTGTTGTGTGGAGCTGATTTCCTCCACACCTTCAAGATCCCGGGCCTGTGGCTGGAGGACCACTTGGAGGAGTTAGTCAAGCATTTTGGCCTCGTCTGCGTTAGTCGAGGGAGTCTGCAGCCCGAACGAGCCGTACATGAGTCAGATACCCTCTTCCGCCACAGACAAAACATTTTCCTTGTGAGGGAGTGGGTGAGGAACGAGACAAGTGCCACAGAGGTCCGTCGGGCACTTAGACGGGGTCTGAGTGTAAAATACCTCATCCCAGACCCTGTGATAGAGTATATTCACCAGAACAACCTCTACACAGAGGACAGCGAGAAGAGAAACGAGGGCACAGCGCTGAGACCGCTTATCAAACAAGCACATCGGCCGATAAAGAGTCTGGACGACTGATAAACCAAATTAAACTCCCATCCATCAGACCTTCTGCTGGAGGATTCCTTTATTTCCACTGGGGCTTAATGGAGAGCAGGTTTGCACAATGTGGAAATGCAAAGAGCACATTTAGACTAAATCGATACTTCAGAGGCGTCGCTCCAGTGTCTTTTGCATGCATATAATAAGCTGCAGAAACAGAAAAACACCTTTAAGGTAATTTTATTTTTTTAAGGTTTTGCCGTGTTGCCTTTATTTCCTTTCCTAGTTGTTCCATGAAATGGAATAAAATCTTTATATTTGAAGCATTTTTATGTCTCATTTGTGTATTTTATTTTATTTTTTATAAATATTCATTTGTTTACACATATACAGACATATAGTTACAAAGACACACACACACACACACATATATATGTATATCTCCATCCATCAATCCATTATCTGAAACGCTTATCCCAAGTGGGGTCGCGAGGGTGCTGGTGCCTATCTCCGGCGGTTAATGGGCGAGAGGCGGGGTACACCCTGGACAGGTCGCCAGTCCACCGCAGATATATATATATATATATATATATATATATATATATATATATATATATATATATATATATATATATATATATATATATATATATATATATATATATATATATATATGGTGATATTTCCACATCTAGCATATGAGACAATGTGTCAGTTATATTCCTCCAGAATGTCTGGACAGGAGGGCAATTCCAAAGCATATGCAGCAGTGTGCCTTCTGACCCACAGCCATGCCAGCATAATTTACACTTTTCTTTGTCCTTTTTTTTAGAATATAAGCTGTAATATATGCTCAATTTGTTATTTTGAGCTGTATGATTTTATACTTAACACATTTGGACATTTTTGTGGTTTTTTGCAGTGATGCATTCCACTGTGAGTCAGAAATGGGCACACTAATGTCTTTTATCCATTGTTTTTTTTTTTTTACATATTTATGGTCTGCTTTAGTATTACACAATAGTTGGTATATTTTTTGACACAGTGCGTGTGTCAGTAGCAGCATGTTTTAATTTATCCTCAAGGTCCTTTTTGTCCCCCAGGTTGTTTTCTTGAGATAGTGAAGATTTCAGAATGGATTTAATCTGTAAGTAATTTTAAAATTCTGTGTCATTGAGGCTACACTATTTTTTTGAAATCTCTAAAGGAAATTCTATTTCCATTTATAATTAATTGTGATGTATTCTGAATATTGTTTTGTTTCCACACTTTGTTCTTTAAGATTTTTTTACCTGCCATAAAAAGCAGGTTAGACCATAGGGGACAGGAAGGTAAGGGTTATCCATTGAAATAAAAGTATTTATCCTGCATTTTGATGATATCTCCAGAAAATTTTATTAGTGGATTATTAATATCATTAATTGCCTTAGGGCTGTATCAAAGGGTTGCAAGAGAAAAATCTCAGTTATATTCTGTTACCGTTTTTTCTTCGCGCCATTCCCAACTGCCAGTTTCTCTAAAGTTTCTTTATGCCCATTTTAAAGGATATATTGAATTAAATGCAATAAACACCGAAATAAACATGTAGCAAGCCAATACCACCTTTAATACGGCTTTGAATAAATTTTTGATAACTGATTCTATGTTTCTTATTTCTCCACAGAAAATCTGTGAATAATTTATATCTTTCAACTATTTTGTAGAAAATTTAAGAGGAATTGATGAGATTATGCAGGTCACTTTTGGTAAGAGATATGTGTTTAAAGCTCTGCCCCATAGTGAAAGGGGTAAAATTGTCCATCGTTTAAGGTCTTCTCTTATTGTTTTAGTAACATCATTTATATTCAAGTCCACCATAGTTTCTACAGGAAACTTAATTTTAATTCCAAGGTATGTCATACCTTCAGGTTTCCACTGAAAAACTGCAGTTCCAAGGTTTGATTGGAAAACTTGTATCCTGATATATAGCTAAAGGCTTCAATTAATTAAATTAATTGAAATAGTTTTGGGATAAATTTTTCTAAATTTGTTATGGTTAGTAAAATATCATTAGCAAATTGGTTCAATTTAAATTCATGTTTGGCGACACTAATTCGTTTAATATCTTTTTCTATCCGAATCAGACTAGCCAAGGGTTCCAATGCCAGGATAAAAACCCTTGGCATGTGGACCGATATAGGTGCATGGGTTCAGATAGCAGTTGTGTTTTTTTTGCCACTCTCACCCGAACAGCCATCTTAACAACATTTAGGAAGTACAATATTTGTTATATGTCTTCAAAAAAAGATTTCCCGTTCGAGTGAACTTTAAATATGCCTCCTTTCAGGCTGAGGTTCTGCAGCAGTATGAGCCCAAATAAAGAGGTCTGTTAACTACTTGGATATACTGGATGACTGGGTCAGTCAAAGGGTCAACATCAGGGACCCTCATGCTCAAATTGCTCAAGAGCATGACATATAATTTTCAAACATGGATTAGCCACCACACACTCCCAACCATAACTTCTTTGAGAATCTCTGTGATATGCTGGAGAAGGTCAGATCAGCTGCACGGCCGTCTTACCTCCTAATAAGGCTCTTTCTAGGTGGAAATAAATGTGTGATAGAAGCTTATTAAAACAATGTCCCAACAGATATATTTGTCAAAGCTAAAACTGCTATATAGTTGCAAAAGCTTTTCTTGTAAAGTTAAAAACACAGGAGTTGTTGCTCATACCTCAGCCCTAGTTTAACTGCACATACAATCAGAAAAACATACATTAATTTTGTTTTTGCAGTGGAATCAAAAATGTTTGTGGTCATTTAAATTAAGTTTAACTCAAAACTGTTTTATCAACAGCGCTTCACAACATATGTTATCTTAAGTTGATTTCCACAGTAATTTCAATCAGAGCATAAAGACAGATTGGTTAAGAGTTGTCTGTCTAAGGAAAACTACCAGACTGCATGACTTCCAGGATTTCCTCCTCTTGGTTGAGTATGTAGAAACAGCTGTCAGTTGCTTGGATTATGTCGCAATCCCTCAAGGTGAGCATGCACGTAGTGACAGTGGAGAGGAAAACTCCCCTTTAGCATGTACTAAGGAGAACAGAGAAGCAGCTTTCTGTTTCAACCAGAGGTGGGGAGTAACTAGTTACATTTACTGTAGTGATTTTTACAACACTGTACTTTTGCTGCAACAAGGTTGTGGATTTGATTCCTTGCCCAGACTCTTTCTACATGGAGTTTCCATGTTCTTCCTGTGCATGCATAGGTTCTCTTTGGGTACTCCCCGTTTCTCCCACAGTACCAAAACATGTCTGTTAGGTTTTAGCATCTCTAAATTTACCTTAGCGCACGCCTTGCCAATTTAGCCAGCGTATGTCTGACTTACAAGAATCTTCTAAAAACTGGCATACGCTGAACTTTCTATGTATTTTTTTCAATTTTGGGTATATACATAGAGTATTCATAACGAGTCCAGAACTTATATCCAACAAAATCCTAACTTATGAATGACGCACAGCAGCATAATGCCCTTGAGATGATGCACAAGCCAGTGTCCTGAGGGGGCAGCGATGCACCCGGAAGTGCCTGGCCTGTATAAAAAGATTTATTTGATGTGATTTGTATTAACCTAGCTGCTGTTTACTGCTTACTAAAAGAAAAAGAAAGAAAGAAGGTTTGCAGTCGCAGCAGATTCAGCATCATGTCTGCTAGGAAGTTTGTTGGTCATGGGTGTGAATGCAGAGAGGATCCATTACACACACTTTCACGCTCACCCTATTATGGGGATGAAGTCTGGAGGAAAACTGACAGTTTCCTCCTGTGAACGCCCTTTCATATCAAAACGCTGCTAATACACCATTATACGGTAGCTGTACATTGGAAACACATTCAGTGGTCGTCTGGAACACGTCACATAGGTTGATATGCGTTAGAGATAAGTTCTTCATAAGTTATGCACAAGTTAGTTTTGGGATAAGCTAGACACCACGACTTATGGGTAACTTACAGTTAACGTGTGTCAGAGATCAGATAACTTACCTGTTACTTATGCCCCAGGCATGAGCATACGTTGGCATACGTTGAGAGAATTTCTCGACATAGTCGCACGTTTCAGCGTATTTCAGCATGCTTATAACTTATACAAAATGTAACCATAGCTTATCCAACATATGCCAGCGTTTTTTCCAAGTTTTCCATAGGTCAGGCATACGCTGCCTACATCATTAAGGTGTTACCGGGCCTTTAGGTGTGAGCGTGTGTGCATGGTTGCATGTCTTTGTGTGTCTCTTCGTTGCCCTGCGACAGACTGCTGACTTGTCCAGGGTGAACCCCGCCTCTCGCCCATAGACTGCAAGAGAAAGGCACCAGCCCCACAGTGACCCTGACAGCACTGAGTGGGAGAAAACAGATGGATGGATATTTATTGAAACCTTATTTTCTCTAAAGATGATGTCTCCTGGAGTCCATAACAAAATGCTGTTCACTCCCTCTCTGTTACAAATTACTGAGGCAGTATGCTTCGATTGGATCTCCTAAGGTGGATTGTTATCTTTGTTATGTACTCATGGTCGACCAGGAGGACAAGCACCGATGGATCTTGTCTGGATTAGCTTCAGTGGTGCTCACAACAAATTTTGGAATCAACTCCTTATATCCAGTAGGCTGATTTTCACCTCAAAATGCTTACTCTCTGGGTGTGGTGGACAAAAGTGATACCAAAATTATCCCAAACCCAAGTCAATGTGCTTTGGTTATATATTGTTAAACCAGAGGGATAAACCAACTGCTGGTCACATGCTAACTATAATGCAATACAAGCTTAGGAGTGTTTTTATGTATTGAAACCTTAAAGAACCATGTTCACTCCCAGAGATTGAACAGAGCTTTTACTGGTAAGACTTTTTGCAGTTCAGCCTAAAACTTTAATCTGCACGAACCTTCACTGTTACAGTTTATTTTAGTTATTAGATATATTGGATCTTCCAGTCCCGATTGATTCAAAGCCTCCTATTTTCCTGTTTAGAGTTACAGCTTGACTGGACTTGCTGTCAATTTTTTTTTATATTATAAAATGTTACATATCAATGTTACAGATCTGAGAAGACTTGCTGAGAAGACCTCATGTGTTCTTAAACAGATTAGCAGTAAGTTACCAAGATGTTTTCAGAGTTTAACAGTTCTTTTTTTCCACCATTTCCCTTGAAATCCAGTTTGGGTCTCTGTCCTCTCCTGCTCCTTCCAAACAGCAGTTCATTCTGGATCCATTCAGTCTCCCCATTATCCTCCCAACGCTGTGACTGGAAGGCCGTTATTATTTTCACAGAAGGATTTAAAGTAAT